GACAGGATCTCCGGCTCCTGCAGCAGCCGCGGCGGTCCCACTGCGCGGTGGAAACCAGCGAGTCGGTCAGTACGCTGCTCCAGGCCCCCCTTCAGCGCACGCAAGTGACCAGATCTCAGCGCAGACTTAGCCGCTGCTGTTTCCGCCCTGGTTTGCAGACAGAGACCGTGACCTCAAAGTCCCATAGCAAGCACATAACCGGCCCAAGAAGCCTTGGTGGATTAAGCAGGCTCCAAGTTAAACTTGGGGGAGCAGGAGGGAGCATGCCCATGCCCTGTGCATCCCGTGGTTGCCTGCAGCCCTGTCAGACCTAAGGGCTCCACCTGCCCTGGGTGCCTCGCTTGGGGATGAGAGACAGGTAGGGGCAGGCGCCTGGCTCCCTTCCCTAAGTCACTCCAAAGCTAGTAGACTTTCCCGGGAAGAATGCCCAGCCCCCTTATGAACTCAACATCAACTGCTAAGGAAGAGTGTAAATGTTTCTCCAAAGCACACTATCTGGGGTCTAGACCACATCTTTATGGTATGCTCCTGTCCCCATTTTATCAGTTTATTCAACAGATCGTCACTGCGGCTGCGGAGTGCCAGCAGTACTCATGCAGGACTGCAGGCCTGAGCGACACAGAGCAGATCTCTGTTCTCCCTTAGGCTGTCGCCCTCCTTTTTGTTTCTGGCACCTTGTATTGGATGAGACTTTGCAACACATCTTTAACTTTTCATAAATGCCTCTGCCAAGGACTTCTTGGGTAAAATTCGGTGTCTTCTAAAATGAAAGTTTCTCACGTCTTACCCATCTTTAAATATTCATGGGGGTCTGACATAGTGAATTTCATTCATTCTGCGACTATGTGTTGAAGGCCTACTTTGGGCCAGACAGTCCTCTGTTTGCCTCTTACAAGCTCCAGTACAGGCGGTGGACTGTTCTGGAATACCCTGGCCTTGTTCGAGCTGGCTGTGCCCTTCCCGGTCAGCCTGTTCAAAAGGGAGCCCGGACCCTGTAAAGCACTTCAGCCACCACCACGCACTCCCCGTGCCAGCAGAGCTGTGCCGCGAGCCGGCTGCCTGTCTCCCTGAACCCTCACTGCAGCCCGTGAGGCAAGTACTTGAATTCCTCCCAGTTTACATGAGAAAATCAAGTGTCACAGTCGTTAAGTAACTTGTCCCATACAGAGGGACTCCAACCTGGACCTCAGGAGCCCTGGACAGAAGACAAAGCACATACCGGCCCCTGGGAGCTCCTGGAAAGCCCAGGACAGTCCGTCTGGACCTACCCGGTGCAAGTGCCTGCCCCAACGTGTGTGCCAGGTGAGAGTTTGAGCAGTGGGTGGTTGTGGGCCCTGGTCCTAGCCCTGGGGCCTAGGGAAGAGTATACTGAGCCCGGCTCCTTTCCTGACTGGTAAGCAAACCTTGAACCCCCCGCTTTCTGGTTGGTGTCTGCTCCCAGCTGGTGCCTGCTTCTTCTGGGACCCCTTGAAGCTCTGGTTCATTTCCCTGACTCCATGGCAACAGGATCCCACCGGCCCCTAAGATCCCAGCACGTGGCCAGGAGCACTGAGCAGCATAATGGAAGCATGCCCTCCTGCCTGCCCCGCGGATGGGAACCGGAGCCCTGCGCCCCACTCTTGGCTTTGAGTTTAAGTCAGTTCCAGATCAGAGACAACAAAATAATTATATAACCCTTGGTGAATTTTGTCAGGTGTTTGGAAGTCTGTGCCCCAGGCCCCCTGAGGCTTTCCCGCCGCAGGCTTGCTCATTTATGCCCCGGAGCCCCCTAGTGGCCGACTGAACCATGACCTCCCCTCCAGACACCTCTGGCGTCTTGTCTTGCTCTCTTTTTTCTTTCTCTAGTCATTGCTACAGGGCACATGCGCTCACCAGAGAGAGCGAGAGAGGGAGAACACCCCCAAAGGGGAGGTGACATCTCTTCTTCAGGAGGGCGTCTAGGTCTCTGCAGGCAGGTGCCAGACCCCCTAGTCTTTGCTGTAGCCCTCACACTGGGCACAACACCCTCCCACCCGTCTGGCGTAGCTGTTTCATCTTAGGTACGAGCCACTTTCATCCTCATCCCAAGAAGGAAACACGTACAAGTGTGCACACACACATACACGCATGCACAGTCACACACATGCACACACAAGTACATACATGTGTGCACCTGTGGATGTCCAAGACACATCTGGCTCAGCCCCCTTCAGCCTGCCTTCTCCACTCACCTGTTGCCACCCTGCTTGGGCTGGCTTACTCCAGAAGCCCCTGGCCATCCTGTGCCCACAGCCCAAGCCTGGCTTCCCACAGCACCTCTCCCTCTACCAGGCTTGGCACCCCAGAAAGCCAGGAGTGGACCACATGAGAGGTGCCCCAAAGGTCTGCCTTTCCACGTGTCTGCAGCACGTGCAGCCGCAGCGGCCACACCAGCCCGTTCCCGCCCTACCCTGTGCTTACCGCTGAGGGTCAGCTGGGGGCGGGTCCCAGCCACATTCCGTGCCACACAACGGTAGATGCCCACGTCAGCCGGGCTCACGCTGGTGATGTGCAGGATGCCACCAGGCAGCAGCGTGACCCTGAGGAGGCTACGGTCAGGGGTGCGTGGCCTGAGCCTCGGCCTGGTCCACCACCCCATCACACTGCAGGCTGGCACTCACCGGTGGTCGTGGTCGGCAGTGTTCAGGGCCGTGCCGTTGCGCTCCCAGGAGATGGAGGGCTCGGGCACCCCCCGAATCAGGCACTGAAAGCGCGCGACTCCACCCCGCTCCACCTGGACGGACTCTGGGTGTTGGTGGAAACGGGACAGACCTAGGGCGTGGGGGGCCCCCTGAGCATCCCAGAGCAGCCCTGGGCTGAGCTCCCGGTGAGCACTACCCAGGCCAGGCCCCCACCTCTGTGCCCACATCTGCCACTTCTGCTGATCTCAGCCCACAACCATGACCTATGGCTTCTGGGGGCCATGAGCTCCGTGCCTCCCTCCGTACAGAATTCAAGATTACACCTTACGACTGTACGGCGATGAAGACAAATACAGGGCCACTGGTGGCATGCTGCTTAAGGGGGCTGGATCCCACACGACTGACTTCATAGTTCAAGTCCCAGACCCAGCTATTTGAAAAACATGCCAGGCACCTGTGCACACCCAAAATCTTGAGAGGAGTGAGAAATAGAGAAGGGATTGCAGCGTGGCCATCCCCTGGGTGTATTCTCGCTTTCCCTTTCTCACACACTCTGTCTCTCTCCAGTCAAGTACACACACCCTGTGTGTGTGTGTGTGTGTGTGTGTGTGTGTGTGTAGTTTTTTTTAAGAAAAGACAAATATACAGGCCGACAGGTGATGCAGTGATTAAGAGCACTGGACTCCCACATGGCTGACCACGGTTCGAGTCCTGGACCTGGCGACTCGCTTTCTCACTTTCTCTCACGCTCTCTCTCGCTTCGTCACTCTCTGGTCAAATTTAAATAAATAAAATAAAGTTAAATAAAATAATTCTTAAAAAAAAAAAGACAAATATAATCCAGGCTGGAGTCATGATTCTTTATGCAGTATTATACTCAGGTTGTTTTTTTAATTTAATTTTTGCCATAGGGCACATGTGTGCACTAGAGAGAGACAGAGACAGAGAGACAGAAAGTGAGAAATCACCCCTCAGGGGGGATGGCCATACCCCCAATTCCTTCTCCTCCATTCTCCTCTCAGGATCTTGGGCATACACGCACACACGCCCAAGGTGGTTTTAAGCCACCGGGTCCAGGACTTGAACTGCGTGGGAGTCCAGCGACATAGCCATTATGCTAACTGCTGGCCCTTTTTTTTTTAAGAACTATTTATTTATTTCATTTCATTGGTTATTATAGTTATTATAATTATTAATTTCATGAGAGAGAGAGAGAGGGGGAAAGAGAAAGCAAGTTGCCAAGTCTGGGACTCAAACCGCAGCTGGCCACGTGGGAATCTAGTCTTTAGCCAGCAGCTACTTGCCAGCCTCCCCAGTGTGATTCTCAGCCACCGGGTCTGGGGCTCTTACTGCCGTCAATCCTGTAGGAGTCCAGTGCCTTAGCCACTGCACCACCTGCTGGCCCCTTTCCCCTAGTTTTAAAGAAATTAAAACATCCTCGTGGACTCCTAAACGTATCAGGGTCTGAGGTTCTACACTGTGTCTACGGCTGAGTCAGCCCTGCCCAGACCCACCAGGGGCCCCTGTGGCCCACAGGTGCATCCTGTGGGTGCCCTGAGCGCCCCACCCCCAGGAGCAGCCCCTCACTTACTTGCCAGCTGCACCCGGGCCCTCCGGCTCACCAGCCGCCCATAGCGGTTCTGGGCCACGCAGTGGTACTCGTGGCCACGGGAAGGGAGGCCCCGGTGGGACAGCAGGGCAGCCAGATGCAAGGAGCCATCGGGCATCAGGGTGGCACCGCTGTCGTTGCCCAGGGCCAGACCATCCCGCTGCCAGGAAATGGACACGGGCGGCTCCCCGTCCACCTGGCAGGGCAGCACCAGCGGGGGGTCCCGCCACGGCACCACGGGCCA